CGGGTGGGCGCTTTCAGCAAGAGGGCGCTCAAGTTTGCGGCACGGCGGGACCGCATCGCGCGCGTCAGGCGCGCAGGCGGGCCAGCCGCCAAGATCGTGCGCCAGGCCAAAGTCCCTTCGCTCCTCTACGTGCAGGTCATGGGCATGGCAGATACCAAACTCGGCGAGCTGCGGCAGTCGGTCGCGACCTCGCTCCAGGGCAACACCAAAGGCAGATTTACGTTCCTCGCCCTGCTGGCGGACGACGTGGACCCAGGCACGCTCGTCAACTCGGCGGCGATTCTGGCCTGGGCGCAGGCGTGGCGGAAGACTTATCGCCAGCCAGAGCTCATCCCCGAGCTGCAGGCGGCATGGCAGAAGTGGGCGCTGCGAGTGGGGCGCGCCAAGTCCCCCTGGCAGCTTGTACGAGGGCCCGCCGGGGCTTTCGTGGCGACGGTACGCAGGCTGGGCTGGATGACGCAGGCGGCGCACTCCATTACCATCGGGGCGGAGGTGCTGGACTTGCGGGTCGTGCCGCTCCACGCCTTGCGGCACTACGTCAAGGGGGCCACCGAGCAGGGCCTCAAGGACGCCTGGCTGGAGAAGCGGGGCGAAAAGCTGGGCCTGCAGTTCGTGTTCGTGGAGCCCGTGCGGGCGCTCCTCAGGCGCCCCCTGCGCGGGCGCTGGACGCAGGCGCACCAGACGCGCGTCCGCACCCTCTGGTGCGGGGGCACGTGGCCGCAGCTGCGCCTCTTCCAGAAAGGCGCGGCGGAGAACGACACCTGCCAGGCTTGCCAGGGCGCGCGAGGGACCGACCGGCATCGGACTTTCGAGTGCCCCGCGCGCGAGGCCCACCGCCGCGAGGTGAAGGGGCACCACATCGTGCAGCGGGGCGCCGACCCCTGGCCAGGCACGGAGCAGCTCTGGGGCCGCGGGTTGGCCAACGACCCCGCGGTGGAGTTCGGGCTGTGGGACTTGCCATCGATGGACACCCTCCTGGCCCACGGCGAGTTCGACGGCGAGTTCGACGGCTTCGTCACGGGCGATGTCTACACCGACGGCAGCCTGCTGTACGGCAGCTACGCGGCTCTGCGGCGAGGCTGGGCGTTCGTGCAGCTGACGCCCGACATGCAACTGCGTTTCGCTTGCTACGGGCCCCAGCCAGGGGCGCAGTGGCAGCAGGCGATTTTCCGGAGTGAGTTGGAGGCAGTTCGGCGCGTGCTGGAGGTGGCCTGCCCGCCGCTCACCATCTGGACCGACTGCCAGAGCATTCTCGACGGCTTCGCGCGCGGCCCAGCCTGGGCCGAGAGGCCGAGCACGATGCATTCTGAGACGTGGAGCCGCTGCTGGGCCCTGATCGCCGAGAACGGTGGCATCGGCCCGAGGGGGATTCGGCTCCAGAAAGTGAAGGCGCACGCGACGCGGGCCCAGCGTCAAATCATGGGCCTCGCGCAGTTTGCTGGAAATGAATATGCTGATCAGTACGCCAAGCTAGGAGCCAAGCAGCACGAGCATGTAGCCTGGCAGCGAGAAGCTTATATCCAACGATACAAACTCGTCTCGGATGTGTTAGAGTTTTCCGCTTGCGCCTCCCAAGAGTGGTATTCTGCCGTCGGTGTGCAAGGTACGCCCACGACAGATGGCTCGGTCTTCTGTCTCAGTGTCCTGGGGGCGATCCTCGGAAGATCTCTGGGCGTTTGAATCGGTTGGGGGAAGGGCGACACCCGACCACCAACCGCCTTTTCTGATGCAGCCCCATGTCGCCCAGGAGAGGCCTGGGGGATGGTGCTGTCTAATCGTCGTCGGTCGTGCTCTCTTGCTCATGGCACGGCAGATCAGGATAGCAGAATCCTCGTAGCAGAATCCTCCTCCGCCCCACTCCCTCCTCCCCCCTCATTCCTCCCTCCTCTCCTCCTGCTCCTCCTCCTGCTCCTGCTCCTGCTCCTGCTCCTGCTCCTGCTCCTGCTCCTCCTCCTCCTCCTCCTCCTCCTCCTCCTCCTCCTCCTCCTCCTCCTCCTCCTTCGTCTCCTCCTCCTCCCCTTCTCCTCCCCCTTCTTCTCCTCCTCCTCCTCCTCCTCCTCTCCTCCTCCTCCTCCTCCTCCTCCTCCTCCTCCTCCTCCTCCTCCTCCTCCTCCTCCTCCTCCTCCTCCATCTCCTCCTCCTCCTCCATCTCTCTTCGTTCTAAGTACCGCCTCCCTATCGCACCTCCAGATGTGTCGATAGGGCGGTCCATGCGTTTCGCCTGAGACACCCCAGCGCTTACAGCCCTGAAGCTTGAAAGCTGCAACGGTTTCCACAATAAAGGGCGGACCGTTTTTAAGATGTAGCTCTCGCCGCTGCACTCGCCATACAAAATTGTCATCGTTTCGGTGATGGCGGGCGGGTAGTTTTCAAAACGTGGATCTCGCCTTGGCGCCGCGCGCATTCGTGTGAAAAGTCTGCACTGCAACAGCTTCACCGATGGAAGGCGGTTCCTGTTCAAAGTGCGGCTCTCTAGCGTCGCGCACATTTCGTCTTGAAAATATGCAGAACTCTCAAGTATTCGTATGGCTGAAATCCAGGAGCGGGGTTCTGGCACGACTGAGGACAACCAGGACGTAACAGCCGCGTTGATATGCGGGGTCTCTGTCCCAGGAGCGGCGTCCTGGCACACTTTGGGGTTGTCAGGGTGCAGCATTCACGTCGGTTCGCGGCGCTGAAGTCAATGGAACTGTGTTTTGGCAGGTTGAGAATTCACGACTGATGTTTCCCATCGGGGGCACTTCCCGCAGTGACCATATATTATTTAGGGGGAAAACAAACCTACCTCGCTTTTGACCACCCTCGCTTCCAAGAGATACCAAACGATGCCAAACTACGGCCTGTACTGGTCAGGCCGCTTGACGAGGAGGCGCGTGGTATGACTTGTTTTTTTCCTGGAAGCGAAAGCGGGGTAGGTAATTCACGCTCTGATTCTTGAAGGACATATGAAGAGGGAACTTGGAGGGTGTATTGCAACATCGCTGATGTGTCTTGGGTTTACGCCGGTTTCCCTCCTCCTCCTCTTCCTTCTCCTCCTTCTCCTCCTCCTCCTCCCTGCTCAGAGGACCAAACGACGTCATCAACGTAAGCTTTCGGAGGTCCGAGCGGATTTCTCGGATCGGCGCCAAGTCCTTCCTGGCGGCGCCTCTGGCGCCGCCCCTGACCCGCTCAACGTGACGGGGGGGGCCCGGCGCCAATCCGAGAAGACCTCGCGGGCCTCCGAAAGGTTGTGTCTGTGTGTGTGTTTATGCTGATGTTTGTTCTTGTAGCCCAAGGGGGGGGGGCACCCCAAGGAGTTCTAGGGTACCTGACATCTTCACGTCGTGCAACGACTGTTTTAGGCCTCTGGGTGCCAGCGACTGGCCCAGAAGCCGACAAAGATACCGACTGGGCATGGGAAGCGGGACCCCAGGCAGACCCAGTCTTCTGGAGAGCCGCCATTCGAAACAGCATCACGGCGTGGGAAGTCTGGGTTAGAGGCCTCGCAGGTCCCAAACGCCATAAACATAAACTGTTGGAGACCCGCGCGAATTCTTGGGAACCGCGCTGGGCCCCCTCCCTGGCGCGTGGAGTTCGCTGGGGGCGGCGCCAGAGGCGCCGCCAGGGGGCCCAGCGCAGACCCAGGAAATCCGAGCGAACCTATGTTTATGCCGTTTTAGCTCTTCAACGGCTCATGGGACCAAGTTGATACAGTCAACTCGTATCAGAAGGACGCACGATAAGGATGCAAGGACCTTGGACGGCCATCTCGAAGCTTTCCAAGCGGGGCGCGGCCAACGAAAGTGGCCAAGGATGGACCGAGGAGGGAAGGATGCGAGGGTACCCTTGGGAGGGCTGCCCGTCCTTGCCATGCGGGTCGACTGTAGGGCGTCGGAGGATCGCACAACATCGCCGAGGCACAGGCGACGTTGGGATGTCTGATGGGGCCGCAACCGCCTCGAGGCATGGGGGCCCCCCGTGGACCCCCCAGGAGCCCCAGAGCCCCCCAGGGGGCTCCCAGGCGCGCCCGAGTGCGCCCAGAACCTCCTCGATCATCGACCTCCCCTCCCCGGACCCCCCTCGCGCGGTGAAACAGAATCACGGCGAGGGGTTTTTCGCCAGTCTCGGCCTCCAGGGGCCCTTCCTGGGCCCAGGAGCCGCCAGAAAACGATTCGGGAGGAGGAAACAGCCCCAGAGGAGGGGTCCAGACCACAGGGGATCGACGTCTTGACAAACGAACAAACACAACGCGACATCGGGGGTCTGGGTCCCTCAAGACCCTGAACCTCCAGCTGGAGGCAACGGTGACCTCCCTCCGCCTCTCGCTATCGGGTTCGGGACGGAAGAAGGAAGGAAACAGCAGAGAGGGAGATGAACGAATCAGCTCACGTATAACCAACCGGTCTTCCCGGCGCCGGAGGCACCCCACCAAGGACAGCGCCCGGCGGCAGGGCCGAAACCACGGCTGCACGCAGCAGCTCTCGAAACCACCATCCCTTTCCCTCCCGTCGTCCGACCCGACTCGGCGGCTCAAAGATGGGGCCCCGAGTGATGGGGCCCCGAGGACGAGAAGAGGCCCCAGGCTGCTTCCACAGCGTGTGACGCCCCTCGCCCTGAGGCAGAGGAACAGAAAACAGCACAAGCATGATGTCTCCGAGGTCTGCGCGGGCTCCATGGATCGGGCGCGCGGAGCGCCGGAGGCCCCGCCAGGGGGGCCCAGCGCCGATCCAAGAAACCCGCGTGGACCTCCGCGAGACCACGTTTACGACGTTGTCGCGTTCTGCAATGACGGCCCCATCCCCCATCCCTCGGCGCCCCATCTTTGGAGCGCCGCCAGAAGCAGGGCAAGTGGAGACAACGGCAGCTCAACATCGATCCCCAGACCCCTCCCGCGGCCCAAACGCACCGCTTCTCCGCGCCGCGTCCAGCCGTGGCGGCGAGCGGCCCCCGCGAAGGCCCCGGCCGGCTACCGCTGCCTCGGCTCGCCCTCCTCCGAGCCGAGGCCCTGGCACTGCCCGGACCTCCCGCGCGTCTGGCGCCCGGGCTGCCAGCTCGCGGGCGCGGCCGCCGCCGCGCGCCTCGGCCGCGCCAGCTGCATGCTGGCGGGGGCGACGTGCGCCCCGCCCGAGCGCGCGCCACGGGCCGCCGCTGCGCCGGCCGCCGCGGCGGCCACCTCCGCGGCCGAGGCGGGCGGCACAGCGGCCGCGGGCGCCTCCTCGGCCGGCTCGTCCGCGCGCGCCGCGGGCTCGGCGGGCTCGTCCGCGGGCGCCGGCTCGGCGGGCTCGTCCGCGGACGCCGCGCGGCTCGGCGGCTCCACGCTGCCGTCCGTGAGCATGAGCAGAGGGGCGGGCGGCGGAGGGGCCGCCTCCTCTGGCAACCCTGAGATCCTGGCGCTGCCTTTCTTCTTGACGGGCGTTTGCGCCGGGCTTCGGGCCCTGGGACCCTCACAGACCGATCCAGCTCGGAAATGAGGTCTGGGGCCTCGGTCTCGATTTTTCGCCATGTTCCAGCGTTGCCGCAGCGTCGGGTACCAGGGCCAGGCAAGCTTGAGCCTTGGTGCGGGGCCTCGGGTGGGAGCGGCGGGGAGGGGGAGGGCCAAACCCCGGCGCGCAAGCCGCTGCCATCGTACCGAACTCGGCGATCGGGGGAGGCCCGTGGGCCCGCACCAGGAGGGTCACTCCGGCGCCAGGGCCACGCTTTCGCGCAGCCGCTCCTCGGCCTGCGGCCCCAGGGCCTGCGGCGCGGGCGCCGGCAGCAGGAGCTCCGCGGCCGAGGGCGGCGGGTCCTCTTCCGGCACCTCTGGGATGGCCGGCATCTCGGCCTCCTGCCCGCAGATCTCCGGTGATGCGATCGCTTCCGTCCTGGCACGCTTCCCTGGCCTCGGCCCGCGGAGGGCCGCGCTCGGGCCCCCGGGGCATCCGGCATGGGCCCGCGGGGCGCACGACCTCCCCTGGGGAAGCGGTGGGCACCGCGGATCGAGAGGATCACATCGGCGGATATGTCTGGACACACAGCAGCGCCGCGCCTGGACAATGCCGTCCAGGGCCCAGGTATGCTGCGCACGCCGTCCTGGCCGAGGCTGGGATGGCCCATATGCACCATCCTGGGACCAGGATGGCCATGGTCAGGCGAAGCGGTCGCGTATCAGAGACCCTCTGCGGAGATCCTCCGTCTTCGCGACGCTCCTGACGTGGAGGAGGAACACCAGCAGCGGCATGCTGTCGCCCGAGTTGCAGAAGCCTATCACGACCGACGGGCACATCCATATATACACACGCCCTCGAGCTCTCCATTCCGGGGCGCGGTCCCATGCAGCACGCGATCCGGCACGCGCGCTGGGCCGCCCCGTCTACCCAGACTCCCGACGCCGTCTTTTTTTCATGACGTGGTGGACTCCCAGAGGCCTGAGGGACTGGCTTCTCATCCTGAGTTGTTCCTGGCACGGCCCCGGGACCCCGCAGAGGCCCCTGGAGGCGGAAACCGACGAAGCACCTCGCGCCATGCCTTTCCTATCGCGGCGCGAGGTCGCCGCGAGGGGGGCTGGGCACACGGGGCCGCGGCCCGGGAGAGCCCCTCGAGGCCGCGGACGTGGAGAGGCCCTCCGCCCGCGGGCCTATGCGCGTGCCGTCCGCCACGAGAACGCCCTGCGGCGCCTCCTCCCGCTGGCGGTCCACCAGGACCCTGCCGGGCGTGAGCCTGCTGAGGCGCAGTGCGCGCTCCAGCGGCGCGGCGGCGGAGCAGGCGCTCGCGGGCTCGACCTCCTCGGCACCGTCGCCCGTCTCCTCGGCACGGCCGGCCAGACGCCTCCTCCTCCTCCTCCTCCTCCTCCTCCTCCGCCTCCTCCTCCTCCTCCTCCTCCTCCTCCTCCCCCCTCCTCCTCCTCCTCCTCCTCCTCCTCCTCCTCCTCCTCGTCCTCCTCGTCCTCCTCCTCCTCCTCGTCCTCCTCGTCCTCCTCCTCTCTCGCTCCTCCCTCGCTCCTGGCTGTACAAATGATGGGCCCTCGGCGCGCCCGGGGGAAGAAGGAGGCGCGCGCGGCAGCGCAGGCCCGTGCCGCTGCGACGCCAGCGTTGGTTTCTTTCGCCGCGTACATCGCGCTCGCAACCTCGGGCGATCGCCGGCTTCCCGATGGCGCAGATCGTTCGAGATCGGCCGATTCTGGGCAGCTGGCGGCGTGCGCGAATTTGGACGCCCGCGCTGGAGTCGCCGCCGCGTCCGCACGACGCGTGACCTGTGGTGTGCGGTTTGGGGAGGCCGCGGGGGGGGGGGGGGGCGCCAAAACCCGAGCGCGAAAAGCCAGTGTCAGCAGAGGCCTCCTAGATGTGGTCCGAATAGATGGAGTCGGAGGATCGCGCCGCATCGCCAATGAATCGCCGATGCGTCGGCGATGCATCGGCGATGCATCGCCGACGTCGGCGATGCATCGGCGACGTCTGCGTGGAGAAACGCGGGCTCCACATCGAGCCGCATCGTCAATGCATCGGCGATGCGGCGCGATCCTCCGACCCCATCTACTCGGACCCCATCTGGGAGGTCTAGTGTTAGGGATACCCCTGTGGGCCCGCACCAAAAGTCACTCCGGCGAAGGGTCAGTCCTACGCGTACCTATAGCAGTGAGGGCGCATGATAGAACGGGGCCTGCTGAGGGGGCGCGAACTCGAGCTGGAATCGGCGATGCACAGTCGACTGCCGCTGGGCCCTCGACTGGGGAACCGCACGCTCCTGGGCGGGATGCCCCCCTCGGCGACGAGAAGGGCGATGAGGGGTCCATGCGTTCCCCCCGAGAAAATCCCCCCGCTCGCTCCCCCTGATCCCGAAGCAGCAACTGCACAAATACAGCTCCGAACTTTCGGAGGTCCGCGCGGATTTCTCGAACCGACGTGAACCTCCCTGGGCGGCGGCTCCGACGCCGCCCCCGGGGGGGTCTCCGGCGCCTGTCCGAGACTCCCGCGCGGACCTCTGAAGGCGTACGCCCCCGGATCTCCAACGTCGTGAACTCCTCGCATCGCGGACCCCCAGAGGCCTGGAGTCTATAGACCACTTCCCCGGGACGGATGTCTCCTCCGGCGGCGAGGGAAGGGGGGGAAATGAGAAGGAGAAGGCCTTCTTCTCGGACGGCGGCGGGACTTCTCAAAGGCCCTCGCGCCTTCCGAGAAGTGTTCCGTGTCTCCGGGGAAGGCTCCGAAAACTTCTCTCAGAAGTCTGGGAGACTTCCGAGCCTCCCGAGAAGGCCTGCTCCTTCTCACTTCCCCCCCGGGCTCGCCGCCGAGTGAGGACCCCCCTGGATGCCGAGAGTTGCCCCTAAAAAAACCTCTCGTCGCGATTCGTGTCGCAGCTGGGGTCGCTTCCAAGCGCGGCCGCAGGGGTCCCGACCCCTTCCCTTGGGCTATAGCTCTGCAGCCCTCGATCCGCTTTCGATGGCCCCGGGGCCCGCCAGCGGGCCCCAGAGGCCGAGATCTATAGCAAGACGCCAGACCCGAATCTAAGACGCAAACGCATGTCGTCGGAGAGTTGCGCTCATGATTTGTGTTCTGCCACGGTCCTCCGAGAGCTGGAAGGGGCTCATGGAGACGTGCCCCCGGAGGGCCTCGGACGGCGCCAGCCGCTCGAAGATCTCGGGCTGGAACTCGGGGCCGAGGGCCCACGGGCCTTCTGGGGCGAGAAGGATGGCATGATGCAAGTGGCCCAGGATACGCTCTGGAGCACAGTCGACACATTCGCTAAGAAGTCGTGCCATGAGAGATCGAGGGGCACGCTTGTTGTCAACGTCTGAGCTTCCTGAGGTACCCCAGGGCTCCGTTGGGCCGCCGTGACCATCGGGGGATAAGAACTCCTGTCGCGCGTCTGCTGGCAGGCTGGCTTTCTGCTTGGGCGTGCCTGCCAAAGCTAGCACCCAGAGCTCCTCGTATCTGGAGCTGGTGCGGAGCAAAAAGAAATGTTGGGAGCACCTGGGGAGCCCTGGGAACACCATGGGGAGCTCCTCGGAGCTGCCGGGGAACCCTGGGAGCAACTGGGGAGCTCCTGGGAGCTCCCCGGGAGCCCTGAGAGCACCTGGGGCGCCCCTGGGAGCTGCCGGGGGAGCCCTGGGAGCACCTGGGGAACCCCTAGCTCCCAAAGGATACGAAACCGTTTCCCCGGGGACCGTTTCCCCGGAACCGCTTCCCCGGGACCGTTTCCCCGGAGGACCATTTCCCCGGAGACGACCTCTTCCCCGGGGACCGCTTCCCCGGAGGAGCGTTTCCCCGGGACCGTTTCCCCGGTTCCGTTTCCCAAGGAACGCTTGCCCGGAACCGTTTCCCCCGATCCGTTTCCCCGGAGCCGGTTCCCCAGAACCGTTTCCCCGCAGCCGGTTCCCCTGGACCGTTTCCCCGGTGCACCGTTTCCCCGGAACCGCTTCCCCGGAACCGGGTCGGGCTCGGGTCGGGCGGGCGGGACATTCAAACAGAATGCATCATCGAGTTGGCGCGCGAGTACCCAAACGGGCGGGACGGGCCCGGCGGGCCGGCGGACCCGAACGGGCGGACCCAAACGGGCGGGGCGGGTCGGGTCGGGCGGGCGGGACATTCAAGTAGAATGCATCATCGAGTTGGGACGCGAGTACCCCAACGGGCGGGACGGGTCCGGCGGGCGGGCGGACCCTAACGGGCGGGACGGGTCGGGTCGGGCGGACCCTAACGGGCGGGACGGGTCGGGTCGGGCGGGACATTAAAGAATGATGCACCATCGAGTTGGCACGCGAATACCTTCACGGGCGAGACAGTCGCGGCGGGCGGGCGGACCCTAACGGGCGGGACGGGTCGGGTCGGGCGGGCGGACCCTAACGGGAAAGGTCAGGTCGGGTCGGGCGGGTGGGACATTAAAGTATGATGTGCCATCGAATTGGCACGCGAGTGCCCTAACGGGCGGGACGGGTCCGGCGGGCCGTCGGACCCTACCGGCGGGACGGATCGGGTTCGGGCGACATTAAAGATTAAATGTGCCAAGTTGGCACTCGAGTACCCTACGGGAGGGACGGGTCCGGCGGGAGGGCGGACCCTAACGGGCGGGACCGGATCGGGTACGGGCGGGCGACCCTAGGGCGTGGTCGGGTCGGGCGGGCGGGCAGGACATTAAAGTGATGACTGCTATCGATTGGCACGCGAGAAACCCTCACGGGCGGACGGCCGCGGCCCCGCGGACCCTAACGGAGGACGGGTCCGGCGGGCGTGTGGACCCTAAGGGCGGGCACTGGTCGTGGTCGGGCGGGCGGGATATAAAATTATTATCATCATCGAGATGGCACGCGAATACGCTAACGGGCGGGACGGGTCCGGCGAGCGGGCGGCCCCTAACGGGCGGGACGGGTCGGGTCGGGTCGGGCGGACCCTAACGGGCGGGACGGGTCGGGTCGGGCGTGCGGGACATTAAAGAATGATGCACCATCGAGTTGGCACGCGAGTACCCTAACGAGCGGGACGGGTCGGGCGGGCGGACCCTAACGGGCGGGACGGGTCGGGTCGGGCGGGCGGACCCTAACGGGCGTGTCGGGTCGGGTCGGGCGGGCGGGACATTAAAGTATGATGCATCATCGAGTTGGCACGCGAGTACCCTAACGGGCGGGACGGGTCCGGCCGTCGGACCCTAACGGACGGGTCGAGTCGGGCGGGCGGACCCTCACGGGCGGGACGGGTCGGGTCGAGCGTGCGGGACATAAAATAATGGTGCATCATCGAGTTGGCACGCGAGTACCCTCACTGAGGGACGGGTCGGGCGGGCGGACCCTGACGGGCGGGTCGGGTCGGGTCGGGCGGACATTAAAGTATGGTGCGCCATCGAGTTGGCACGCGAGTACCCTAACGGGCGGGACGGGTCCGGCGGGCGGGCGGACCCTGCGGGCGGGACGGGTCGGGTCGGCGAGCGGGACATTAAAGTATGATGCACCATCGAAATGGCACGCGAGTACCCTAACGGGCGGGACGGGTCCGGCGGGCGGGCGGGACGGGTCGGGTCGGGCGGGCGGACCCTTACGGGCGGGACGGGTCGGGTCAAGCGGGCGGGACGGGTATAATAATGGTGCATCATCGAGTTGGCACGCGAGTACCCAAACGGGCGGGACGGGCCCGGCGGGCGGACCCTAACGGGCGGGACGGGTCGGGCGGACATTAAAGTATGGTGCGCCATCAAGTTGGCACGCGAGTACCCTAACGGGCGGGACGGGTCCGTCGGGCGGGCGGACCCTGACGGGCGGGACGGGTCGGGCGGGCGGACCCTACGGGCGGGTCGGGTCGGGTCGGGCGGGCGGGACATTAAAGTATGATGCACCATCGAGTTGGCACGCGAGTACCCTAACGGGCGGGACGGGTCCGGCGGGCGGGCGGACGGGTCGGGTCGGGCGGGCGGACCCTCACGGGCGGGACGGGTCGGGTCGAGCGGGCGGGACATAAAATAATGGTGCATCATCGAGTTGGCACGCGAGTACCCTGACGGGCGGGACGGGCCCGGCGGGCGGACCCTAACGGGCGGGTCGGGTCGGGTCGGGCGGACATTAAAGTATGGTGCGCCATCGAGTTGGCACGCGAGTACCCTAACGGGCGGGACGGGTCCGGCGGGCGGGCGGACCCTGACGGGCGGGACGGGTCGGGTCGGGCGGGCGGACCCTAACGGGCGGGACGGGTCGGGTCGGGCGGGCAGGACATTAAAGTATGATGCGCCATCGAGTTGGCACGCGAGTACCCTAACGGGCGGGACGGGTCGGGCGGGCGGACCCTAACGGGCGGGACGGGTCGGGTCGGGTCGGCAGGACGGGTCGGGTGGGTGGCCCTCGATGATGGATGAGGGACATGAGGGAGGAGAGGGGAGGAGGAAGTAGGGAGGGATGAGGGATATAGGGCGGGGGGACGTAGCGGCAACGAGGGATGGAGGAGGGCGGGAGGGCAGAGAGGGATGGACGAGGAGGAGGAGGAAGAAGATGAGGAGGAGCAGCAGCAGCAGCAACAGCAGCAGCAGTGTAATGAGAGAGAGTAGCAGGAGAAAATCGCCTCTGTGGAACCCGTCCTGTGGAACCCGTCCTGTGGAACCAGTCCTGTGGAACCGGGCTTGTGGAACCGGTTCTGTGGTACCGGTCCTGCGGAACCGGTGCTGTGGAACCGGTTCTGTGGAACCGGTTCTGCGGAACCGGTCCTGTTGAACCGGTCTTTGTTGAACCGGTCCTTGCTGAACTGGTCGTCTGTTGAACCGGTGTCTGTTGAACCGGTCGTCTGTTGAACCGGTCCCTGTTGAACCCGTCGTCTGTTGAACCGGTCTTCTTCCCTCCCGATACAAAGAGCCCTGGGAGCACCTGGGGAGCTCCCGGGGGGAAGTGTGGGAGCACCTGGTGGAATCTTGAAGCGTGACACTGTGACTGTCACGACCTCTTGGCTCCTCCGACCTTCACCCGAGCGCAGCGGGATGCAGCGGTCTTCGTACGGGATGCGGTTGATGTCGGTGCCGCTTGCGGCCACGCACTCCAGCACCGCGATGGCGCAGAAGGAGGAACAACGGCACGAGCAGAAAATTCCCCAGATCCGCGCGGATGTTCGGTGGCAGCTCGCGGGAGCCTCCCATGCCATCTTGTCGGCTCTTGCGAATCGAATCCAGTCGACGCTAATCGACGCTAAATCGATGCTAATCGACGCAAGCCGACGCAGAATCGGCGCTATACCATCGACTCCCAGCCGCTAATCGACACCAGTCGACGCTAAAGACAAAATTAAGAGGGTATACCAGGCTCCCATGACTTGCTACCGAACCGACGCGTGTCGGCGCTGGACCCCTTCCCTCCACTGGCGCGCGGCGCCGGCGGCGCCCTGGTGGAGTCTGTTGCAAGTCCAAGAACTCCGCGCGGGACTCCGAAATGTCATGCTCGTGCCGATCTTTCTCCTTCGAGATGGTGCCCGCGTCCCATGATCCTGGAGTCCGCTTTTAATTTTCCGCGAGCTAGCGACTCCTAGTAGGCATTCCCAGACGACGCTGGCGCGAATCGCGCCGTGACTCCATCCCACGCCTGTTATCGCGAGGGGATATTTAAAAACGGTCTCGAAATGGCGCCCGCGTCCCACGATCCTGTGGGCCAGGGCACCGCCACCTCCACAGGCGGGGGCTGGCATGCTGCCCACTGGGGCAGAAGCTCGCCCCTCTGCCCGCCGCAGAATTCGTCCACGAGCGACCGCAGGCGCCCGGCCACCGTCATGAAGCTCGGCCGCGCGGACACCTCTGGGGGGGTCTCAAAAACCGTGAGATTCGAGCATCGCGATTTTGTCATACCATGCGGTGCCCGGGCACCCTCACCGATCGATACAAGAAAGACTGGGTGAAGGGCTGCGGTCGTGTTTTGTCGAAACGTTGCAATTTCTGGCAACACCGAATCTCAGGAAGCGCTGCGGTGGCAGACCACGCGGGGACCTCGGAATCCCCAACGACCTCACCGCACGGTCCGTCGCCTCACGCTGTGTGGGACCCTGGCAGCCCCAGTCGTCCGAGACAGCACTCGGCAGGAGAAGGATGCAAGTCCCAGAACCGTGCGTGCGAGGCGGGCATGTATCCATATCCACCGCCTGGGAACCGACGTCCTCGTGCCCCGGCGGGCGGTGGATATGGATATATTCGGGTGGCCCCCAGGGGCCCGAATCTATCCACATCCACCGCCTGCGGAGGTCCGCGAAGATCGATCCCCCAGGCGGCGGTTATGGATAAGGTCACGCCTCGGACGTGCGGCCACCACCGAGCCCCGCGCCCACGAGGCACCCACGGAGGTGGGGCGAGGAGGAGGAGGAGGAGGAGGAGGAGGAGGAGGAGGAGGAGGAGGAGGAGGAGGGGGAGGAGAAGGACACGGCGCGGTCACCGCACCGGCTGGGGGGGCCGGAGCCTCGTAGGCCGAGCAAGGCAGTGCCACGTCCTCCGCGAGGCGCCGGGCAAGCTCGGCCGGCCACCTGGCGTCGGACGGGCCGGCGTCGGATCGGGAAGCCGCATCCCCAGAGGTCCAACGTATTGCAAAAATCAGGACGGTTTTTTTTCGCTGGTTTCGGCCCCTAGGGCCCTCGCCGGGCCTCGGGACCGTGAAAAAACGACTCGGGAATAAAAACCGGTGCAGGGGAAGGGGTCGAGACGTCCAGGGACCGCGCATTGCAAAAGTCACGAAATCGATCTCTGGGTCGGGCGGGGCTGCGCCTCGGAGCGGGCCGCGTCGGTATGGGATCGAGATCGAGCCGGCCGCGCCAGGATGCACAACGGTGGTGCGCGTCGCGCCGCATCGGGTCGCCAGAGCCCATGGATGCAGTGGGCCCTGGAAACGGCAGGGCCGTTGTTCGAAATGCCCTTCTCAATACACTGACCCCTGATCGTGAAGCTGGCAAAACAACGGTTCACCGAAAGGGTAACATCCGGTTCGCCGAAACGACCAGGGCAGTCCGGTGATCCGGAGGACGCTCGGAACAGGTGGGGAAACGGCGGGGATCCAGCAAACACTGTGATCAGGACCAGGCCCCCCGCCAGGAAACACGAAAACGATAAAACAACGACACCGAGGATATCAAAACAACTGCGCCGGAAAGATGTGACATTTCTTCGCCGCGCCACGGAGAGGCAATCCACACGGACGCTCGAAGTGTCGGGGGTGTGCGGCAACTAATGGTCCGGCTGCAAGAGAAGGCGAGCGGAAGGAAAAGCGGCCGCAGAGGACAGGAGGGAGGACGAGCGCACTCACGGCTGAGAGCGTTTGAAGAGCATGGCGAACCGACCACGGCAACGTCAGCAGGGAGAGCGCCGTCACCGAGGGGAGGCGGCTCTCGGCCGAACGAAGCGAAGCCAGACCCAGGGATGGCACGGCTCGCGGCCGACGCGCTCGGAGAGGCGCTTGCCACTGTGAAGACCAGGGTGCCCTCAGGACCACATGGCGCTTGGGGCGCTGGGCCCGGGCACTCCTCCTCCTCCTCCTCCTCCTCCTCCTCCTCCTCCTCCTCCTCCTCCTCCTCCTCCTCCTCCTCCTCCTCTCCTCTCCTCCTCCCCCTCCTCCCTCCTCTCCTCCATCCCTCCTCCTCCTCCTCCTCCTCCTCCTCCTCCTCCTCCTCCTCCTCCTCCTCCTCCTCCTCCTGCCCCGCCCAGGAGAGAGGGAAGCGCCGGGGCCCGGCTCGGCCTGGCATGCTGCGGTCGTCGGCGGTCGCAGGGCCTGCCCAAGGGAACCGTCGGGCGCTTCGCCTTCGCGGGCACGCGCGGCGTCTGCGCCGCAGGGGCGAGGATTGCCGGCAGTTCCCGCGGCGACTACTCGCCGCAGGCTCGCGTGGCTCACGCTAGGCGACCAGGGGGGGAGGAGGGTGCAGCCTCCGCGGAGCGCGGCTGGGCACCCAGGGGAGTCGAGTGGCCAGGTGCGGCTCCATGTGGTCGGTCCTGCCAGGCCCGCCTACAGGCGATGCCGTTGGCCGTCGTGAACATGGCCAAAAACGCTGTGTCCAGGCGGCCAGGATGGTCCCTGCTGCTGACGCTGGCGTCGTCCCTGCTGCTGACGCTGGCGTCGCAGAAGCTGCGCCGGGCCGTATTCCGTGCCCCCCCTGCGTTTGGAATCTCGATCGACGACGTTTTTTTCTCCCACGGGAAAGCCCGAGCCCGATAGGGTATGCATACAGCTCAGGACTACCCTATCAGTTGCATTCTCTCCAACTCCTGCTACGGCCTGGAGGGCGACGAGGGAACGAGGGAGACGAAGGAGAAGAGGAGAAAGACGATGATGGAGGCGGAAGCAACGACGACCCCAAAGCGCAGAAACGACAACGCGTGAGGAAAGAGAAGAGAAGAGACCGCCGACACGACCGACAGGAACGGCTCCTGGTTGCAAGGCGCCCTGCGCCCCTCGCACGAGAAACCCACGAAGAAGAGGACCCAGATCACTCACGAGAGGAAGCCCTCGAGGGAGCCAACGAGAAGATGCGGTCGCGATCGGGCGACGCTTCGAAAGGTCCGAGCTGCCGACCTCCGCTCAACGATGAGGCCCTCTAAACCAGGAGGTGGACAATAGGTGCCGCTAGAGCGCGAGAGCGCGCTCACGCCACTGGCCCCAAGACGACGGCACCGCCGTGAGGTCTACGTGCTAAGTGGTGGCGACTGTGAAAGATGACGCGCAGCATGCAGCGGCGCCGCTGCAGCGGGGGCCAGACCCTGCCGCCCGCCGATGCTAGAAACGACGAGGGCCGCGTCGATGGGCAGAGGAGCGGCGGCCCAGAAGGAACGACCCCAGCTCGCTGGAGCGGCGGCCCCCGGGCGACCCCTGACCTCGGCCTCCGACGCGGCGAGAGAAGGAGGGCGAGGAGGAAGACCGAGGCTCCCGCCGCGAGGAGCGCCAGGCTCACGCGGGTCCGGCGGCCGGCGGGGGGCCGGCGATACCTGCGCGGTTCTGAAATTGTCTGCGGCCTGCCAGTAAGCGAGGGCCTGCGCCACTAGGAGACCGACCCCCTGCTTGAGCTCCAGAGCGACGCAGCCCCGCCGCCAAGTCCAACGGGCAGTTGTAAATCCCCTGCACGTCCAGACTGTGCACGGAGGGCGGCCGAACCTCCACCGGCACGTTGATGCACGCGGCGCGCCTGCCCACTGCGGCCGCCGATGGGGGGCCACCTGGAACAGGCGCGACAGCTGGGGCCCCAGAGCATCACGAGGCTGACGGCGTGCCGCTGCCCTCATTCCCTTTTGCCCGGGACCTCGCTCGGGCCCTTGTGGGGCTGGGGAGGTCGCGGACCGTCGGGCAGGGCGTCGGGTTGGGCGTCGCGCGGGGCACAGGGCGGGACGTCGGGTCGGTCGTCGCGCGGGGCACAGGGCGGAGCGTCGGGCAGGGCGACGGGCAGGGCGTAGCGAGGAGGCGGTGGAGCATCGAGGGTTCGGGGAGGTCGCGGGGCGTCGGGCGGGGCGTTGGGGAAGGCATCGGGCGGGGCGTTGGGAAGGGCGTCGGGCGGGACGTTGGGAAGGGTATCGCGCGGAGGTGGCGGGGCGACGCGGGGTTGGGGGGGCCGTGGGGCGTCGAGCGGGGCGTTGGGCACTTCTACCTGAAAAGGTCCAGCTTCGTCGTCCTGAGCTGGCGCTTCCGGCTGGACAAGCATTCCAATCTGAACTGGTACTGGTTCCTCGTCTGGCGCTGCTGCATCAGCCCGCGCCGACGCGCCTGCCGGCGCGGGCCCTCCCCGGCGACTGTCGAGCCAGCGACCTGCGCGCCCCCCCCTGGGGCGGATGGCCGGATCGCGGAGCCAACGGGCAGGATGGCGCCCGCCCGCCGCGCCATCAGAAAGTCCGCAGCGCCTGGAGTCGGCGAGAAAGAATCCGAATCCACTGCGCTCGAGTCCACAGGCATGTGGAGGTCCGCCTCGATCATGCAAAGATACTGCACACCTTCGACAAGGAAGAGAACGTTTGCCTTGGCACTCGTGGGGGAGGCGCGCACCCCAGGGAGCGCCACTCAGCGCTCCTGAACGAGCGCCTTTTGCGCGCTCCAATCCAGCTCCGAGATCAGATCCATCGGCGACGAGCCCGGCGCCAGTTCCTCGGTGGTGGACGGGGTCTCCTCGGCGCCGGCGGGGTGCCAGCTGCGAAGCCCCATCGGCGGAGGTCGGGCCGCGCGGCGCCATTAGGGCCGCCGGCGAGAGCGACTCGCCAGTCCACATCTGGACCGCGAGGTCGCCCACGCAGCTGAGAAGTCGCCCACGCAGGAGGGCGCCCATGCGCGCCGCGAAGAGCGGCGGGGAGAGCGGGGGGCCCGCGCCGCAACGAAGGCCACCAGCGATGGCGTCGACGGCTGCGGCGGCCTGGAAGGCGGCCCTCTGGGCGGCGGATGCTGCTCCGTCGGCTGAGCCCCCGACGGGACTTTCGCTGGCCTCGCCGCCCTCGGCCGCCATCAGCCTCTGCATTTTCGTCGGCCACTTCGCCCCGATAGCCGGCGCCACCATGGCCATAATCATCTCCTCCTTGACAGCGTCGATCTTGTCGGCCAGCTGCTGGAGGGCAAGAGCTCGAGCGTCGGCGGCAGCGGGAGAGGTCGTGGCGGACGCGCGCGCGCCAGGCGCAAGGGCGAGCGCGCCTGCTCCTCCGCCAGACGCAGCGCAGTCACAGCGATCTGTCGACGGAGTCGGGTCTGCACCTCCTCGCCAGACATCGGCTGCTCCTCGACGGTCGTCGGCGTCGTCTTCTCCGGCGCCCTGGACCTCTGCATCCTGCGTTGGCTTCGTCCGGGGCGCCCTGGGCGTCTGCGCGGCAATCGGCCTCCTGGGCGCCGGCCCAGGTCGAGCTCGCCCGCCCCGCGTCGCCCTCGTCGAATTTCAGCCGCTGCGGAGGCTGAAGAACCTCCTCGCTCGAGCGAGCTTCATTCCGATCGAGCGAGGCGTTCGGCCTCGGCGACGATGCTCCCGGCGGCGCCAGCACGGGCGCGCTGAGCGCCCTGTTCTCGGCGTCTGCCACCACTGCCTCGAGCAGACCGCAGCCCCATATTGCCATGCCCGAGCCCCGAAACGAACCCGCGCGCGCGGTGCCCTCGCACGATCGGCCCAAGTGTCAGAGCGGCTGGAGACGTAGCGGTTTGCGCCAGCATCGCCAACACCATCGGCTCAAGTGCCAAAGGTCTCGATCGCCGACACCATCGCCTCGGCGCCGGCATCCGGCGGAGCGGCGACGGCTCGGCTGACGGATCATGCGCAGGAGTCCTGGGGGGCCCCTGTGCGCGCGAGAGCGAAGATGCGAGACCTGGTCCAGGGGCGCCTCTGATCGTGGCAATCGCGTTTGATGAGGACACGCCCGACACGTTGTTATAGCCATGACGGGGAGGGCCAGACGCGTCAGGAACACGTCAGGGCCCCCAGAGGCCACTCGGCCCCCACACCCAGGAGCTCCACTGACCGTGACAATCACCGCCAGAGACATGCTAGCCATTCGAGGGGCTGGCATGCCTTCGCGGCTCCGGCGGATCTGGAGTGGGGGCCCTGGCGAATTCGGTACCGCGGCGGCAGCTTCGCCGGGCGGGCCCCCCGAAGCCGGCTGACTCTCGCCGCGAGGCGCTATCTCAGAAACTGAGCCGCAGGAAGCCTCGTCGCTGAATGCTCGCGAGGAGACCGAACCCGCCCCCAAGGAGGTCCGTCGGCGCCACTGCTTGGCCTGCTCGCAAGTGCTGGCCCCGAATGGATTCTCGTGCGCTCTAGTCGCGGCAGAGTGGCCCGCGGTGTCAGGCCACGCCCCCTTCCGCCCACATCCTGCAAGGTGGCGATGGGACTGGCTGCAAGAAATTCTGATCCAGGGTGCGCGCCGCTGGGAGCAGTGGCCACTACTTCTGCATGTGGCACCCAACGGCCCCCCTCTGCCCACTGGTGTTGGCCGTCGAGCGAAGGGTCGCCGCCGCGGTCCCGAAGGCCCGACTTTCCAGGATCAGCTTGCCCCGGTCGCGAGCCGCCGCGGCCCCAGTGGCCCGGGGCTCCGAGAAAACCTGCGCCCAGCCTCTCACGCTCGCGTTCCAGACGCTCCAGACCCACAGGAGCGAGCCCCAAGGGCACGACGAGTCTCCGCTCGAGGGCGTGGAAGACCGCCGACCTGTGGGAGTCTGAGCCGCGGGCGATCGCCAGCCGTGCTGCCCGCGGCACGCGGTCGCGCTGCTCCTCGGTTCTGCGGGCGCGGAGCGGGCCAGAGGCCGCGGCGAGGCGGCAGCTCGAGGGCGGCGCTGGCGGCGCCCTAGATGACGCGGTGCAGGCGGCCTCCTGCGCACATCACGCGCCCCTTCGAGATCGAATAAGGGGTTGAATTCAGCCACCTGGACTCGCCTCGTCGGCGAGCCAAGACGGGGCACTCTACGCATTGCACCACCGCGACCGCGCTGGCCTGCTGACCCGACCAGGCCGCGCCGACGAAGTCGAGCCGCAGGACGGCGCCGTCGGCCCGGCGCACCATGGCGGCGCCGCCGCCGCAGAGGGTCCCGCAGCGCGAGTACTTGATGCGGCGGCGTCAAGCGCGCCAGGCCCAGCGCGCGGCCGCCGTGCGAGCTGCCTCGCGTCTGGAGGAGTCTCGCTGCTCGCGCGCACGACTGTGCTCTCGCATCGGAAACCACGGCCAGACGGCATCGGCTCTCTGCCGCCTGCCAGCCCCTTGGGTAATCGAAGATCGCGACCTCCGTTCACATGATTGCCATGCCGGCACCATCGTTGGCCATGTTGGCGGCCGTGTCGATGCAGGACGACTGCCGCCAATCGCAGCATATTGCTATGGCGGTGCCAGATCCGCCCAGGGCGACCCCAGGGGGCCTGCTGTCCAGGGCGACCCCCCTTCTGGCCCCAGCGGATTTTGAAAGTTTGCTGCCACTGGTCTAGAAGCACCCCCGCGGGGATTTCAGCTCAGAACAGGCCGTGTGAGACGACGCGCGCCCAGATGAGTCCACACGTCGTGTGGCCGATGGCCTCCACCAGCTCTTCTAGCCGTGCAAGCCCTGTGTGGCGGGCCAACTCGGCGTCCTGCAAGTGCGCGATGAGCGCGTCGTCATCCATATGCTGCGAGGCGTGGAAGACATCACTACTACGCTGGACCGCCGCTACGTACGGGTCGTGCCCCTCCAACGCGCGGCATCTCACCCGTTTGACCCAGCGACCGCAGAGAGAATGCATGCCGTGGCCAGTGCTGCCCTGCGCGAGGACGAATCCATCTAGCACCTGCGGCATGGCAGCCTGGGCCGCTTCAGCGCCCCTCGGCGATTCCTCATCATGGACGAAGTGACAGCGGCCCAGCAGGTGCCCTGGGCATAGGCGCCCGCATTGGCAGGGCGGAAGGCGGCGACCCGCTGGTTGTCGCCACCTGGGCCTCTGCTGCAGTGGCGGCTGGGGCTTCTGTTGGCGCTAAGGGAGGCCGGCGGCAGTAGGTACCGCGGCCACCCACGTCGTCGGCCACGTCCCGCACTAGGCTCCCTCAGTCCTCTTGGCCCTCCGCTTCCTCCTCCACGCCCACTGGAGCGGCGCAGCAGCGCCGTGGCGGTGAGGCAGCATGGCAGCTCGGCCCAACCTGCTGCGTAGTTAGGCCTCTCCGCGCGAGACGCGCGCTCGGCGGCTCCACGGGCGTAAGCAGACAGCAGGAGGGCCCGTGCTGCAGCAAGCTGTTGTCCTCGCTCTGGCGGCCTCCAGAAGCCTGGCGCCGGCGCGCACGCGTTCGCCAGGCTCCCTAGCTTCACCAGCCCTGCGACCGACCTGCCCGCCAAATCGCCGTCGAGAGAACTTCCCCAAGCCGGAAGGGCCTCGTGCCGAACCAGGGCCAGGCGCTCCCCGAGGCGCGTCAGGGATGGCGGCACCCAGCCCTGACAAAGAGGTGGGAGACCAAGCCTCGGACCACAGCTCCAGCTCCCCCCAGGCGCTCGGAGCCAGTGCCGCATTGCTGCCCACCTGGTCCTGCAAAAGGTGCCGCAGCCTGTCCAGCGCCGCCAGGGCCGCCTCTGCACGTTCGGCCACGACCGGAACACTGCCGTGCAAAGGAGGCGCTGGAGGCGGCGACACCGGGGCCGTGGTGGTCCGACGCGCCGCCGCGGCGCGCTGCCGAACGCGGCGGCAAGCCCCAGGCGACAGCGCGAGGAGAGACGGCCCGTTGGTCTCGCCGCCGCCAGTCACAGCAGACCGTGCGCGCGCGGCACCACCAGTCGGTGGGCCACGCGCGCTCCGCTCCGCCGCAGGCTGGCGCGTGCTGCCCCCGCCCAGCTGGCTTGAAGCAGGGCGGCTTGAGCCAGGGTTTGAGCCGAGGCTCGAGCCCAAAGGGCTACGGAAGGAATGTGTTTGTTGCACTCAGGCATGAAGTCGGGCCTGACCCCCTACAAGGAGATGTTCGAGGAAAAATTAAAAATAGTCAGGACATACTCGGAAATGACAAAAAAAACAACCAAATCTTCCCCAAACTATGTTTTGACTAGTTTTGAATATTCCTCCTGTAGAGGGACAGGCCCGACTGAAGTCAAGCACAGACACACACACACAAAACAAAACAAAAAAACTGAGGAAAGCAAACGGCCCTGTCGCTTCCAGGGCCAACAACAGCGCCAGAGTGTGTCGGCATCGGGGCCGGTCGGGCAGGCCAGGGATCGACACCGCATCGCATCGGCCGCATCGGTCGCGTCGACAGCGGGCCACGCCTGGCGTGGGGGTCGCAGGCGGCCGCCGCGCGCTCGACGGCCCCGGCGTGCATGGGCCGGACGATCTCGAACACGGGGAAAGCCATGTCGCCTCGGCGGCGCGCGGAGGGGGGCGCGGGAGTGGGGGGGGGGATACGGCGACCCTGGTCCCTGACTCTGTGGGCCCTCGGCTGGGCAAGAGATCCGGGGCCGAGCTCGCTGTGCTTGTTTTATTATTTATGTGTTCTAGTTGCGTGCGAATGCCCTCTCCTGGGGGGGTCTCTTGGCGGCGCGCCCAGGGTGCGAGGCAGACAGAGGAGGCGGGCCTTCCAAGAAGGCTCAGAGGGCCTCCAGCCTTCTGACGAGCTGTCTGCTCCTGCTCCGAGGCCACAGAGGGCGTCCTCGCAGCAAGCTCGAGGACTTCTGAGAGGCGGCGCCCCCTTCCGGGAAGGCTTGCCTCCTCTCGCTTCCCTCCCCCGGCGGGCCGAAGAGCATCCCCGAGATGCTCCTCGCTCCTAATGTTAGGTCGGGCATGTCCTCCTGCAGGCGGATTTTGGAAGAAAAGCGCGACACAGTCAAAACATGTTCGACACAGTCAAACAAATCGAAAATCGTCCACATACTATGTTTGACTTTGTTTTGAATACTCCTCCTGTAGAGGGACATGCCCGACTTCATCCGAACGAGGCGGCATGACTTGTGGCGAGGACCCTGGGGACCGGGGGCGAGAATTCGCCCGCGAGTCAGGGGGCGGGGGCGAGGGCCTGCGGCGCGGTGGTGCTCCCACACCGTGAATGGATGCGTACCCACAACGGCGCCCACCTCGCGAGCGACCTCCACCGCCTCCTCGTCCTTGATCTCGTCCTCCTCCTCCTCCTCCTCCTCCTCCTCCTCCTCCTCCCTCCTCCTCTTCCTCCTCCTCCTCCTCCCTCCTCCTCCTCCTCCTCCTCCTCCTCCCCCTCCTCCTCCTCTTCCTCCTCCTCCTCCCGCCTCCTCCTCCTCCTCCTCCTCCTCCTTCTCCTCCTCCTCCTCCAGGCCATCGCCCACCAGAGAGGCAGCCACGGCGCAGTCCGGGCTGTTGGTGCCCCACAGTCGTGGGGCCCTTCTTGTAGCAGTAGGTGTCGAATTTTAGTATTGGAAGGTTCGCCCCCGCGGCCGCTCCCATAATAGGTGGGTAGCTTTCAAAGGGATAACCGTGCTTCACAGTCGTGGGGCAGCCTGTGGCGTCGTCCACGCCGCCATCGACACATGGAAAGCAGTAGTAGGTGAGGGGTTTGCAGGGTAGGTATTGCTATCTAGTCGCGGGGTTACACGTGACCGTAAAGGTAAAGGGATAAGCGAGGGGCAATGTTAGGGCTTCGCAGTCGTGGGGCGG